ATACACACACACACACACACACACACACACACACACACACACACACACACACACACACACACACACACACAGTGAAGAATTAAAATTAAACTTTTAATTTGTATAGTCGCATACCTGACCAATCAGATAGAACTTCCGGGCCAGTACGCCCCGCTTCCTTATTGTCTCGCTTCAAAGCATTTTTTCCCACTCTAGTTTCGTTTTCTTTCGCTATGGCGGGAGTTTAGAACAGAGCACGAGAGGGAACGGTCTCCACGGTAACCATCTAAGCCGGAAGTGCTGGGCTCACTGTAAGCAACAACAACAGATCAAAACAAATGAAATCTACTCTGCATTCAGTTAATACAAATAAACAGTTTATTTAACGCCTCAGCGTGTGACGGAAATGCAAATGTTTTGTTAATGAGATTCACCGACGTCAAGTACTGCACCGGTGAGTTTTTGTCCGATGCACTGATTTAAATTTCCATGTTAATACCATTATATTTTTTGCAGAGCTTTTACCTGACCAAAACATTTAAATGTCATTAAATTACGATTTAGCTATAATTAAGGTTAAACAATACGTTGTTTTGTCTCTGTCTTTCTATCTATCTATCTATCTATCTATCTATCTATCTATCTATCTATCTATCTATCTATCTATCTGTCTGTCTGTCTGTCTGTCTGTCTGTCTGTCTCTGTCTGTCTGTCTGTCTTATCTATGTCTTATCTATCTGTCTGTCTGTCTGTCTTATCTGTCTGTCTGTCTGTCTGTCTTATCTATCTATCTATCTGTCTGTCTGTCTTATCTGTCTGTCTATCTATCTGTCTGTCTGTCTTATCTATCTGTCTTATCTTTCTGTCTGTCTGTCTGTCTTATCTATCTGTCTGTCTGTCTTATCTATCTGTCTGTCTTATCTATCTATCTATCTATCTGTCTGTCTGTCTTGTTTTTCTATCTATCTGTCTGTCTGTCTTATCTATCTGTCTGTCTGTCTGTCTGTCTGTCTTATCTATCTATCTGTCTGTCTGTCTTATCTATCTGTCTGTCTATCTGTCTGTCTGTCTTATCTGTTTGTCTGTCTGTCTGTCTTATCTATCTGTCTGTCTGTCTGTCTTATCTATCTGTCTGTCTATCTATCTGTCTATCTGCCTGTCTGTCTGTCTTATCTATCTGTCTGTCTATCTATCTATTCTGTCTATCTATCTGTCTATCTGCCTGTCTGTCTGTCTTATCTATCTGTCTGTCTATCTATCTATCCATCTTATCTGTCTGTCTATCTATCTGTCTGTCTTATCTGTCTGTCTTATCTATCTGTCTGTCTGTCTGTCTTGTCTGTCTGTCTGTCTGTCTTATCTGTCTGTCTGTCTTATCTATCTGTCTGTCTGTCTTATCTGTCTGTCTGTCTATCTATCTATCTATCTATCTATCTATCTATATGTCTGTCTATATGTCTGTCTGTCTTTGTCTGTCTGTCTGTCTGTCTGTCTGTCTATCTATCTATCTGTCTGTCTGTCTGTCTTATGTATCTAACCTGTCTGTCTGTCTTTATCTATCTGTCTGTCTTATCTATCTATCTGTCTGTCTGTCTGTCTTATCTATCTACCTATGTCTGTCTGTCTTTGTCTATCTGTCTGTCTGTCTTTATCTGTCTGTCTGTCTGTCTGTCTATCTATCTGTCTATCTGTCTGTCTGTCTGTCTGTCTCTCTTGTCTATCTTGTCTGTCTGTCTGTCTGTGTCTCTCTCTCGCTCTCTCTCTCTCTCTCTCAGTAATGTCCAGGTCAGTGATCTGTTCCCTGAGTGTAGGGGCCACGGCTCCGGAGTCTCTCTCCGTCTTACAGCGGCGTCTTCAGACAGCGGAGCAGCAGACAGAGGAGTTAGTGAGGAGTCTGGGCTCTTTGGGAGCGTCTGCAGATCAGCTGCTCGTGAACTCTTCAGATGGGAGCTCCTCTAAACATCCCATCAGTCCTGTGAACATCCACCGCGCCCTGAGTGCCGCAGGAGAGTGTTTGCTGTGGAGACGGATCTTGAATCATGTGTCTTGTTGAGAAGAGGCTGCTTCTAAATGATCAGACCTTCACCTGATGGATGATAAAACGGGCCAAAACAAATCAAGACATTTATAAAATGCCTAATTTAAGCTTTCTGACCACTGTTTGCTGGTGTCTTGTCAGGTGGAGGTTCTTCAAGCAGACTGTCACGCCTTACGTACTGACAGACAGGCAAACAGGGCGGAGCTAAAGAAGAGGGAGGAGCAAATTCTGGGCCTGGAAAGAGAGTGTCGGGAGCTTCGAGACCAATCCGGTCAGAAATACTGAATTATGGGACATTTTAAACTATGTCTATACTACAGTATGTCTGTTGGTTGTGAAACTAAAGTGTTTTGTTTCCTCTCAGGAGTGAAGGAGACTCTGATATCACAGCTGACCAAAGAGATCAAGGTACGAGAACATGTGAGGGGGACACTGACGGCGGGAATGACACGTCTCATGATGTTTGTGTGTGTTTAGAGTGTGAAGATGGCTCTGCAGAAACAGCAGCAGGAGAACAGCAGACTCATCAGGGATGGACGAGATCTCAGAGCAGCTGCAGATCAAGTCCAGGTACACAAACACTCACTCATGTTTCCTGGGGACATTCCATAGGCGTAATGTTTTTAATACTGTCCAGACTGCATTTTTCTATCGCCATACACCAACCCTACACCTAAACCTACCCCTTACAGAAGGACAAGGATTTCAGATATCGCCATCTTTGTGGGGACATTTTGTCCCCATATCGTAGGGTTTACCAGGACCACTCACACACACACTCACACACACACTCACTCACTCACTCACTCATGATCTATTTAGCATTATATAATTATGTTAGTTCAACAAACCCAACATACTGCCATTGTACAAATTTGGATTAGAGCAATGGTTCCCAATTTTGTTTGGTTACATCTCTGTTTGAAAGTAGTGCTTACTCCCCTATAATCTAATTGTCTTAATATTATATATAATATATAAAATATTATATTATATATTATAATACTAAAGGGGACAAGGGGAAAAGAGTGAGCTGCAATATAAGGAATTAAATTGTACCTATTGAAGAATTTATGTGAAAGGGAAACATTAATTTCCTGCAATTTCTCTGAGATTTGTTTTTTCTGACACATTATGATTTTTTTTTTTTGACAAATACAAAAGAAAACAATTAAAACGTCATATGTTCTTTCTGTTTGTACTGTTTTGAATGATAAAACATGGAAGATACTTCACTGGAAGATCAACTTTTCAGCATTGTTTTTAGTTTTTGTTTTCTGTGTTGCCAAAATGTACATAAAATATTTTAATTATTTATTGCATATCGTAATAAAAAAAGAAAAAAATATGTTTAAAAATTCTATGAAAAATCTTTAATTTTCTGCCAGTTTCTCTGAGCTTTTCTGTGTTTCTGACAAAAAACAGCACAATTCTGTTGACAGTGAAAACTGCACACGTTCTTTTGTTTGAATAATGAAGTTACATGTTTCATTGGAAAATAAAACCGAATCAACTTTTATTTTGTCAAAAGGCTTGCATTGTTCTGTAAATTTTTTGTCTATTTTCTGTGTTGCAAATATTTACATAAAGCTTTTTAATTATTAAAAAATGGGCTTTTACAATATTCCCAAATAAATGAGTAAATAAAAACGGATATTGCAATATTAAAAGAATAACTCACCCAAAATAAAAAAATCCTTTCATATGCAAACCCATATGACTTTATCATCTGTGAAACTCAAGGAGGGATGAAAGGATGGTAATTGTAGCTGTCAAGCTCCAAAAGCATATAAAAGTACTGTATAGTAATGTATATCATTCATATGTTCTATAACCTTCTGAAGTCATTCAAATAATATGTGTGAAAAACAGTCGGGCCATTATTCATCTGGCTCATATGTATCTGTCCATCCATTCAGCTTTGTTAAACCAAATAACATGGTAAACTTTGCTCTTCTGATGTAAAAATGTGTGCGCTTGTTATTGTAAGAAGTTAACCTCTTTCTTTCTCTCAGGTGTTGAATGAAGAGTTAGAGGTTCAGTGTTCAGAGCTGAGCACCGCACTTCATTCATTAACGCTGGAAAACACTCGACTACAGACAGAACATCACTGTAAAATTAAGGTATTTCAATTCAGCAACTTGAAAAACAATTGTACATTGGAATTGGCAAGGTGTCATAAGAAACAAAATAAGAATAATAGTAAAAGTTAAAACAGTATTTAGCAAATTAGCACTAATTAAACAAGTGATTCAGAAGGATAATGATGGAAAATAATACTACATATGCCAGTAATAGCAAAACTGAACAGAAGTTCTGCTGATAGAGACAGTATTTCTCTCACACACTGCTGGGAATGTGTTGTTTGTTCAGGCGGAGCGAGATCGTGTGTTTAAACACCTTCAGGAGCAGGATCTGCTTTTAGACACAGCCAGAAGGAACATCCAGGCTGAACTACAGGGCACCATATCAGAGAAACTCACCCTGCAGAAAGAGCTGTGAGATACACACACAAATTCACTACTAGAAATCATTCACAGCGGGTGGATCGCGACCCACAGCAGGAAAAAGACTAACGCTTCCTATGTTTTTTGTTGCTGACACCAAACGCTGTATCCAAGCAAACGCTAACATATTTTGACTTAAATTCATCTCACTTGTAGATTGTTAGATTTAGGCTGATGGCAACGTGTTGCGTGATCCTTGAAAAGCAAAAGTAAACAACATAATAGAAAATATGACTGTAAATCACAGTTCTGACATAATGTACTGTAAATGAGATCAGTATTTTAATGTTTGTAATCATCAGCTCTTTTAATTTCTCTCAAAGGGAGGCACTGAAAGCAGATCATGGCAAGCTGCAGCAGAGTTCCACCGTTGCCCTGGAGACAGCTGTCAATCATCAGCAGATGCTGGAACGCACCGTCCAGAGGCTTCAGGGGGAGCTCAGCTGTGCCGTGAAAGATGATCAGATAAAGAGTGAGGTCAGCTGAAAGTTGTTTGGACTGTGATGTTGTTTAAATGTATATGAATGAAACAGATAAACAAATTCTGACCAGATGAATCACATTTGAAATTTTTTTTTGTTTGCTTATTATTATTATTATCAGTAGTAGTAGTAGTAGTACCATATTTTTTATATTATATTATATTATCAATTTAATAATAATATGTATCAATTATATATGACAAATTATACATAATTACATATGCACAGTATATAATGTATTATAATTACTAGCATGCATATTGTTTTTAATAAATTAATTAGAATAATAATTGTAATAATTACAGTGACAATAACAAATTTAGTAGTAATAATAATAACAATACAAAATTGTATTAAATTATACATAATTATATCATTAATATACATATACATATTATACAATGTATTATAATTACTAGCATGCATATTGTTTTTAATAAATTAATTAGAATAATAATTGTAATAATTACAGTGACAATAACAAATTTAGTAGTAATAATAATAACAATACAAAATTGTATTAAATTATACATAATTATATCATTAATATACATATACATATTATACAATGTATTATAATTACTAGCATGCATATTGTTTTTAATAAATTAATTAGAATAATAATTGTAATAATTACAGTGACAATAACAAATTTAGTAGTAATAATAATAACAATACAAAATTGTATTAAATTATACATAATTATATCATTAATATACATATACATATTATACAATGTATTATAATTAGCATGATTAATTTGATGATAATACAATTATTAAATTATTGCAAGTATTAAAATTGTTATTAAAAATAATACAATATTTTATGTATTATACATTATACACACACATTACAGAATGTGTTGTAATTATTAATATTACTAATTCGTTATGTTAATATATTGTGATTTTTATTCATACTTTTATTTATCCAAAAGCTGCCGTTTTAGCAAAGCATTACTGTAACAAATGGTTTTGCGCTAGCACTGAATTTCTTTTCACATCATACTAACAACAGCTCTTAAAGGAATAGTTCACACAAAAATGAAACATTTTGTCATCATTTACTCACCCTCGTGCCATTCCAAACCTGTATAAGTTTCTTTCTTATGTTGAACACAAAAGAAGATATTTAGAATTTTGAAGAACCAAACAGTTGTTGGTCCCCATTGACGTCCATAGTAGGGAAAGTAATACTATGGAAATCAATGGGGACCATCATCTGTTGATTATGACATGAGGGTGAGTAAATGGTGACAAAAACATTTTTGGGTGAACAAACCCTTTAAAATTTGTAAAAACACTGTGCCACACAACCATTTGTGGCCCATTGCTTTAATGAACTCTTTATTTCCAAATCTCAGATGAACTCTGCAGTCATTTCGCTGGAAAAGGAGAAGAACATTCTGGAAACACAGCTGTCAGAGATCAAGGTACTGCTGACCAAATGTGAGGTTACTTCCAGTCTTTCTCTAGTGCATTCAGGAGATCAATTCAGTTCCTGGTTGAGTTTGTTCACTGAACTTCATTTCTTCTCCTGCATTTGCTGGGTATAAAATGGAGCTCATTTCACCTGCTACACTGACTCCACTACAGCAATTACCATTAACATCTTCTTCTTTCCTGTGACTGACAGGTGGAGTTGACCATGGTGAACTCAGCACTGCAGAAACCGAAGAAGGAGAACAAGGAGCTGATGGAGAGCCTGGCAGCCTTGAAGCATCAGCAGGTTTGAGATCAAAAGATCACAGAGTCAGATGCACGTCAAAGGAAAGTGTGCTTGTGAGTCTCTCTCTCTCTCTCTCTCTCTCTCTCTCTCTCTCTCTCTCAGGTAACTCATCGTCAGGTAGAACAGATGCTCTGGGACTTGACAGACAGCAAGAACAAACTGGCCTACGAGAAGGGCAAGATGCAGGTCTGTTTCACACAGTCACACACATTTTGTATGTGTGACACAATGATGCTTGAAGAGTCACTTGATGAACACACATGTTATATGTCAGAAACACATCAGGCTTCAAATAAACAGACTCTGTGTGTGTGTGTGTGTGTGTGTGTGTGTGTGTTTACACAGACACGAGTGCAGCAGATGGCTGCTGACCTGAAGACATTGAAAGCAGAATGTACTCAATACTGTCATAGCAACACTGCACTGCAGAACACTTACACACAGGTAAACACACACACTGCTCTAACAAACTGTTTCACAAGCTCTGTGCCACTCAGGTGAGTGAAACTGAACTGCATAAATGCAGAAAAGCAACTGAGCAGGTAAATATTTTCAGACTGTTTATTGATTAAAGAGCTCATATCCTGAGTAATCAGATTTACGAAATTTTTTTTAGATCAAACAGTTTGCTATATTTCCTCCCCAGTCCAAAAAGACAGTCTATTATAAAAAAATAAAAAAAATTAATATACTAAGCAACCAAAATGCTTCATTTGTATATCACATAATTTCTGTAGTGCTGAACCAGTATTACAATTCTGGCTGATACCTGACAAGCCAATTATTTTCTTGATATGGCTGATTTTAAAATTAAAACTCTGTAACTCTTGTTTTATGCTTTTTAAAGAGTTATTGCATAATGGAGCATTTAAAAACCGTGTGAGAACAGCAAAGCATTGTTGGGCGTAGGGTGCAAAATGGTGACATAAAACAAAATAATGGTTGTTTTTTGCAATGAAACTTTAAGGACTTTAAGAATAAATATGAAATAATAAATAATGCATGATATGACCCCTTCAACGAGTCAACTACTGAATATTTAACACTCTTTCTGTCTCGTTCTCAGGCGCAGAGGGAAAATCAGACATTAAAAGAGCAACTCTTCACACTACAGCAACAGCACAGAGACACGGTGAGGGATTCAAAGAAAGACAGTTGAAACCTATGAGCTGAATTAAAAAAAAAGTTCAAAAGTTTTTATGTTTCTGTGCATAACAGAATGAAGTAGCTCAAACTCTGGAGAATGTCCTGTCGTCTCACACTCGTCTGCAGCAGAACACACAAACACTGCATGCAGAGCTGAGAGAAAGAGCACAGGAGCTACACACACTCAGGAGAGAGAGGTGTGTGTGAGAAACTAAGAGGACACACATCTGATTAGAGGAAAAGGGTCATTGCAACTTAATGGGGTACTCATATTTTTATGTTGCACTGGCAGCTGTCTTTGACTTGTGGGATGGATGTAGCATTAGTTCCCAAACCCATTGCAGAAGTGCTGTATTCACAGTCAGCCATGGGTAAAGAAATATTTCAGACAAAAATGTCAATTTGCTGAAAATGTACTCACCCTGAGTTCATCCAAGATACAGTTTCAACATAAGCCTCTCTAAAGGTTATGCTAAATCAAATATTTTCAAAATCCAAAATCTGATGTTTTTTTGAGTGACTACTCTGTCTTAACCTAATAATGATTGATGTATAGTATTTGATAAGTGACTTTCTAAGGCCTCTACATCATTTACATAATTAATACTGCTCCAGAAAAACTTTTCTAGGATCTACTGCATGTCTTTTACCCCCTTGAGGATTAACCATGCAAATCAATAAGTAGAAAAGCTTGCAATATCCTTTCTAAATGTTGGCCTCCGATTGCAATACATGTTATTTGCTTGTTAAAGTAATGGAAAAAATTACTTTCTTGTTTATACTTTTAGTCACCTTGATATTTCATTAATATTAATATTTCATTATTTATAAAAAAAAAAGGTTTGAAATGCTGTATTTGAGGTAATACTTTTTTAAATAATGTACTTAATAGTGTATTATGTTGAGCACAATAAAATTCATTTAAGTGTTAAGTTTAATTTAAATTTAAATTTGCTTGGCTATATTTACAGTGCTTTTCAATCTAATACTTTTTATAGTCTTTATATTATATATAATTATTATTACATATACATATTCCTTGCAAAATAAAATACATTTAAGTATTATGCATAATAACAGGAACAGATGTATTTAAAAATGTAGCACCTGAATGTATTTTAGAATTTTTCTCTAGTGTACATCGGAAATGTCTTTTATAACCTTTTGTTAATTGCATACCTTGTATCATTTATTCAGAGATCGCCATGAAAATAGCCTTGATGCTGGCATGGCGTTAAAAAGTGAATAAATAGGCTAAATAAATAATAACAGGAACACTGTTCATCAAACTTGATTTGAAGTTTAACCATAATAGTCTTGAAAAGTATTGTTGAAGGCAGAGAATTAGTACACAATCACTGCTTTAATAGCTTGAGCAGCTTAAAATGTTGCATTTCTAAATTCACCCTTTGAAGCACTGCTGATAAAAAATATTAGAACTAGAAACCAAAGGAAAAAAATGGGATTATCTGACTATAACCAACTTGCTTGACTACAGTGAACATCCTGACTAATCCCTGCTAAAGATGATATCTCATGTGTGTGTGTTTCAGTCTCAGTCTTTGCTGCAGCTGCACTCTGAGATGCTTTCTCTCCAGTCTGAGCTGCAGTGTCTGTCCTCCACTCAGCAGGGGGAGCTACAGGCCGAAAGAGATCTCAATCACACGCTACAGGAGAAATGCCGGGTCAGCGCTCTCTTGTTCACCTTTAATCTGTGGCGCTGTCCCAAATGTTGACCTCAGCCCTTATGGTCCATGTGCAATTACATGGACTCGTAGAAGCAGGAGCCACAAGTACCCATCCTCCTTTTCTGCCCATATCCATTTTTCTTCTTTCATCTCTTTCTCAGTTTGTTTGCTTTAGGATTCTCTTGCCATATCACTTTTTTCCTTCCTCAGTTCCCTTCATCTTCCTGTCTGTTACGCCCTTCAGGGCATCAATACTGCAAGACCAACAAAGTGCTGGAGAATTGCCATTATGTATATGAATAATCAGGGCTATTGTGCTGATTGCTGCTGTTATTTGTGTGCAGCACCTGGAAGAGAGTTTGAAATCCCTCTCGTCCCTCTCGTCTCCAGGACGTGAAGTGAGACTCGGGGAAGTTTGTCTGGAGTCACAGCAGGTAAACAAACCCCAACAACATCCATTTATACACTAGCAATAACAATAGAGATATATAATGAGAGAATTTTTATTGTTGCGTAAACTGAGTCTGAATGCTGTTGTGTTTCCAATGATCGTGTCTCTTGTTCCAACATTGTGAAATTGATGCTGGAAACCGTGTCAGATTTTAGGTTGCCGCCTCCTTCTCTGATCACAGCCAGTGTTGAAATCATGCAAGCTCTCCAGAGGATGGAAAATTCTTCGCCTTTGATTTGATTCCTTCGTTTCCATCCCGCTTCTCTGTTCCTCAGATCACAGAGAACATGGACGAGGACCACAGAGGGCTCTGCTCTAAATCTGAGAGCTTTAATGGCCAGACAGAACCACAGAAACTCACAGAGAGCTTGTGCAGGACGGGGAAAGACACCGCACGGTCCACTCCAGCTCAGGTAGCAAATATTGCTATGCAATAGGTATACAAAATTATTATATACAAAACAAAAAATCAAGAAAATTATTTTATACTGTATTTGGTTGAGATCCATTAAAAATGCTCCTAAAATTTCAATGATCAATTTCACAGAAGCATTTTTAGAAGAATTTTAACATAAGAAAATACATTTTCAAATGCTTTAAAAAAAAATTGAAATTAAAAGGATGTATTTATTTATTTATTATTTTGATACACTTTACAATTTTCTTCTAAATAAATATACACTACTGTTCAAAAGTGTGGGGTCAGTAAGATTATTTTTAAGGACTTTAATACTTGTATTCAGCAAGGATGCATTAAATGAATCAAAATTTGTTATAAAAGATTTCTCTTGGTTTCCACAAAAATATGAAGCAACACAACTGTTTTTAACATTGAGAAAATCAGCATATTAGAATGATTTCTGAAGGATCATGTGACAATGAAGACTGGAGTAATGATGGTGAAAATTCAGCTTTCATCACAGAAATAAATTACATTTTAATCTATATTTAAATAGAAAACAGAAATTTTACGTAGTAATAATATTTCACAATATTACTGATTTTACTGTTTTTTTTCCAATAAAATCTTTCAAAAAAAAATGTTCCCATAAAATTCTACCAAAGTCAGACTTTTAAATGGTAGTTTATATTACAGATACAGAAAAAAATATAGATATATGTTTGTCCAAAGTGTCTATTTTTACATTTATATTTAGCCATTTAGCAGGCGCTTTTATCCAAAGCGACTTACATTTTTTGACATTCAAATTCATTCAGCTTGCTCTCAATGACATCTCTGGTCTTTCTGTGTTTTTATTCCTGACCTGAAGGCTGTTCTCTGTTTTTAGACTCGCGTTTGCTTTTTTGACCCTGAACTGGAGCCCTGGGCCTCAGCACTACAGCGCTGGGAGATGAAGAAAGAGCTGGGACACATCGCCGGCATTTACAAACCCACAAGACACGTACGTGCGCTGACCACCTGATAACAGCCTCCACAGAGAAGTGCATCACAAACTCATAGATCATGCATGTAACCGGCTTGAAAAAATTCAGTTGTCTATACAGTAGGTGTGTTTGTATGCAAGTACATATCAAGCATATTTAAAACATGTATTTTATTGCTTGAAACTAAAAAGTGCACTAGCAAAAATACATTGTGTGTGTGTAGAAAGACTGCTCATGAAATAAAGAGGAAACAGAGCTGCACTTTATGACCACGTGCCCTAATTACTCACAAATTACTCATGTTAAACATGTTTTTTTCCCTGCAGCCCGCAATAAAGTTATTCAGTTGCAATAAAATAAGGTCAAAGTCTTATACCTGCAAAATGAAACTCCAGAAAGTACAAATATAACTGCAAGGGAGCTGAGGTCGTTCTGTAAAAAAGGGACAACCTCTATTATTTTGTCTGAATATTGCGTTATTGTATTTATATAATAGTTTTTATTGGTGTATCTTTTTTTACTGGTATATCTTTTTTTTGTCATGCCAGTAAAGCTATTTGAACCTGAAAAGACAATAATATAGCAATTGCAATATAATATAATTATTTATTTATTTAATTTTTATTTATTTATTATAATTGTATGCTGCTGTGACATGTACATTTTGCTTAATAAAGTCGATCCAATCCCAAAATTATTGTAAAAAAAACAGGCCATGCAGGAGGCGCGGGAGCAGGTGACGACGGTCGTTCTACCGACGGTCGCCGTGCTCGTCCTGCTCATCGTCCTCTTCGTCTACATGGCGACGAGACCCGGAGCCATCGAGTAAAAAGACTCCAAACAGCCAAATCTCCCCTGTCCTCGTCTTTCTCTTTCATTTCCCTTCGTTCCTTCCCAATGAATGAACTGGACATGGATGGATTGATAAAGGAGGGGTTTTCAGTGCCATGTTTGGAGTGTGTTAAAGGAGTCTTCCGTTTTATCTTCTGAAAGAGTGCCTCTCCCAGCCACCAGCATTCATATCTGTGGCGGCCATGTTGGCTCCAAGCATGCATTTACAGGGTTCTAGTTTCATGCCAAAGCACCTGAGATGCAGCAGACTCGGACTGACCCAGGAACCTGGCCAGATCTGATGCCTCTCTGCTCAGTACAAATGAGAAGTGACTGTAGGATTGCACATGTCTGTAGCATGCAAACTTATGCACACACACACAGATCCACAAATGAACATTGATGGGCGTCACAAGAAACCATTAATGACTGAAATGAATGTTACCCAGAATGTATATTTCTGAATGCTCCTTACCGAATGCCTCTTAACAAGCAGTTGCTGATGTCTTTGGCTGAAGTGTGTGTGTGTGTGTGAGCAGATGCACCATGGAGTGCATGTTTCTATGACACATCTGTGATATACAATCCCAGCGGCAAACATACTCTTATTATAAAATGTATTCCAGCAGGACTTGGATCTGAAAATGTGCCTTAACTTTTAATGACGTAACAGCGTTTGAAGTGTTAATAAAGATGTAGGAAGCCAAGCTGACTGCTTTAAGTATGGTTTTAATAAGACTCTGTGTTTAGATGTTTCACTTTTTTTTTCTCATCTGTCTCTTTTGGAAAATTCTCTTGGAAACTTTGCTTTTGCTGACAAAACTCTTTGTGTTTTCTTGCAAAAAATGAAATATATATAGAAATATCGTTTTTCATGCAAAAGCTTTGCAAGCGCATGCATTTAAATACAATTTATTCTCTCGTCTCCCTCTTGCAAAAGTATTTCGATCCCCTGAAGAACTTTGCATTCACTTACACAAATATTAAAATATGCAAATGTTTCATGAGAGTACACATTTTAATATAGTATTCCTCCCATCTCTCTTGCGCACAAAATAAAAATGTGTTCCCATGAGAAATTCTGCATTTGCTTGCAAAACTTTTCATGCTCTTTTACAAAAGTAATACAATTCCCGTAAAACTTTGCATTCGCTCACAAAAGCATCGAACTATAGTTTTTACTCCCACTTCATATTTACTCCCACTTCACACAAAATGTTTACGAACAAAAAAATATTGAAATACTTTTGTTTTGCATTACCATGTCACTTTAAGGGCTCTACTTAAACCAAACTAGAGTGTTTAATGCAGGGGTGCCCACACTCGGTCCTGGAGGGCCGGTGTCCTGCAGAGTTTAGCTCCAACTTGCCTCAACACACCTGCTTTCAAGTTTCTAGTATGCCTAGTAAGAGCTTGATTAGCTGCTTCAGGTGTGTTTAATTGGGGTTGGAGCTAAACTCTGCAGGACACCGGCCCTCCAGGACCGAGTTTGGGCACCCCTGGTTTAACGTCTTCTGGCTACATTAGACAAACGACACACTTTCTCTGCTCGCAGGAGAAGAACTTTTCAAATTTATTAGCAATTCAAAAAAATTGGTTTTAAGAAAATTGCACCTTTTGAAAGTCGCTCATATAAAATCAAACTAATGTATTACTCTAAAGAATAAATTATATATATTACTGCTATATGCATTATACAAAATTGCACTACCATACAATAATTTCAATATCACTGGCATACGTGATTATTGTATTGATATGCACGATTTAGTTTTTTGAATGCTAACACAGTTCTCAGGAGAAAACTTCTTAAGGAGACAGCCAGGTAACATAAAAAATGAGCTGCTAGCGAAACATAATGAATGAAATCTAGTGAAATATTCTATATCTGAAATCTGTATGTTGACTAGTCTAGTCTAAACAGTTTAAGCAACCGGCCCCAGGACATTACCATAGGGGCCAATACACAGCGGCTGTATTAGTGTCGCGGCCCCTTTAAGGAGCTGCTCCGTCCTGACGCCGGTGACGTGGAGCGCATAGCTTGTGTGTGAGATCCTGTGATGGTGTTCACTGTCTGGGTGAGTCTCATCCGCTGTGATCCACTACAAATCTCCAGCGGGACTCATCTTCATTGACGGGGGGCTCCTTTCCAATGGCATGCCTTCAGTTTAGGCTTGAGTCATCTGATCGCGCGGGTTGTTCGGTGCGGATGTAGGATCCAGCACAGGGCCGGTGATGGTTGCGCATGAAGCCGGAGAGAGCAACAGAGGAGCGGCTGTGATTTCTGCGCTCCTTCGGTAAAGACGCCTCCGCTTCCACTACTGAACCCATCACTCTATACAGCTTATAATGCACTACATAATCAACATTTAACTCTTTATATTGCTTTGTTTTTAAACTGTAAAGTTATTGTTAACCATTTTATTGTGTGTTTGAAATATTTAATGAAGCGATTCATATATTTTAAAGGTGGGTTGTTAGTAAACACATTTATTTAAAATGTTCTATTGTATATTGTGTCAATATTTTTTATTAAAAGTGTGTGTGTGTGTGTGTGTGTGTGTGTGTGTGTGTGTGTGTGTGTGTGTGTGTGTGTGTGTGTATATATATATATATATATAAAGTACTAAACACTAATTTTTAGTAAACACATTTTATTAAAAAATTTCAGTAAATAAACTTTAGATGCATTTTCTATTCTAGTAAACAAAATGTCTATTATATATTGTGTAGTATTGTTTGCATAACAATTATAGTAGTATTATATGCATTATATGTACTATTATGCACAAACACATGTATATGTTAATATATAAAATTGTAAAACTTAAAAGTACATCTTTAAATATTAAATATATACTGTAATACAACTTTTTAATAAACACCTTTATTTTATATTATTTTATGTATTGTTTGTGTAACTATTACATAGATTTTTATTATTATTATTTTTTTTTAACACCACTTAGTTGTGAAATGTTCATTTAATTTGACCTACACCACTGCTTTCTCAGCAGAGACACTTGTGTCCTTTAAACTTTAGGGCAGCGTTACCTCTCTCTTTGGTTTGTGGTTGACCTGTTTTGATCACCAGATACATGGCCTGAAAACACAGTGTCCACATGAGGCTGAGCGGACAGACTATTTTGAGCTGCTCAGGTGTTTCTTAATGAACTGAATAAAGTACCAGGCTGCTGTTTTTAAGCAAACCTGTTTTTATTTTTTAATTCATGAACTAGATCGATTAATTAGGTAAAATAATGTGTTTTTTGAACCTTAAACCACATAAACACATTTCATTACACCAAATACACAAAATAATGTTCTTTTTAGCAACATCACCCCATTGAAGTGTTTAAAACACACAATTCTCTGTTTTTTCTCCAGCTCGGTCCAGTTAGTCTGCTTCTGATGGGCGTTGTGTGCGTTCACTGCATGCACATCCTGGTCAACTGCAGTCATCAGCTCAGTGAGCGGTAAGAATGCACCAATCACAGCCCACCGCCTCACTCACCACAGCCAATCACATTTTAGCTTCTGTTTTTGCTCTCTTTTTGAGTCCTGGCCTGATGTTTAAAGATGTAGTTGAAAAGAAATGTGAGGGCGAGACTTTTTTTATTAATGGAGAAGTGGATTGATTTTGAAAAGCTGAACTAGGACTAGGCATAACTAAACATGGTTTATGTGGTGAATCAGGTTTTATGATCAGTGATTTATTTTCTCAATAAAATACTAATTTCACAGTGGAGCTGGGGTGCGGTGGCTGATGCCCATGCTTATATTTTACACATTAAGCCTTGGTGCTAACATGAGCGACTTAGGTTTGAGATTTTTTAGTCAGGGTTGTTATAGTTAAATAAAACTGAAACTAAAATTAAAACCTTTTTAAAAAATGTTACTTGAATTAAAATAAACATTAACCGAATTTTTTTTAAAAACTTTTTAAAAGTAGTTGCAAAAAGCAAAATTGTCATACTAAAATAACTAAAACTAGAAGTAAAATAAAAACTGTCCAGACATATATAAAAAACTATGAATGACTAAAAATGTCATAAACACACGGCAGAATTACTCAAATTAAAATGAAATTTTTTTTTAATGAAAAATATGAATAAAAATCGTAATAGTATCTCAATTATATTAAAACAACACTGACTATTAACATTGGTATTGTTGGAAAGTGTTTTTATATTATAAAGTTTTAGTATTTTTTGTCTACATGCGACATTGTCTATCAGTTTTTATGTCAGTTTTACTTATTTGAGTTAATCTAAGTGAAAATTAGAAATGTTGTTTTGGCAACTAAATGACAAATAAGTTTATTAATAAGATTATTATTAATATTTTATATTTTTTCATTTATTTATGTTTTGTCATTTATTTATTTTTATGTATTTATTTGTATATTTATTTATTTATTTTTTGTCAGATGAACCCCTTTGACCTAAAATACTTACTTGAAGACCCCTTATAATTTAATATTTCAATAATGTATTTGCATGATCACAGTTCTGTGATCTAGGTTAATTGGGACATGCTGGGCATACAGGTTTTTATTGTTTTATAAAGTTTTTTTTTAATGGTTCTATTTACATTTTAATTATTTAAATATTATCTTTTTATCAACTTGTGATCCACTCTTGTTTCAGTCCCATTCTTCTCTCTGCTTCCTGCCATTCTTCACTTTACCCCCAAAATGCTAAAGTGACACAAAGCAGGTGTTCATCCAAGCCTTTAGATAAAGCACCACACCGTTCAGGTGACCAAAGGTGACTCTCAGATGATTGTGGCCCACTGGTGAAGGTTTTTTCTTTGAAACTGTTCTGGAACTCTAAGCAGACGTTTGATCCTGTTGGTGATGGAGAACTGAAGCAAGCAAAACACGCCTGCAGTGAGAGCTGAATAAAGAGACCGCATGTAGCATTCCTGATGGGTAACCTGGAAACAGATCTCATTATCTGTTCAAATGAACATCAGAGTCTCAGATTGTTTGTAAAATGATGAAAGTCGTAGGGTTTTTGCAGTCGGCTCAAAGATTTGAAGCGTGCATATTGTGTATTCTGAACGCAGCGGTTTCTAGCGTGTGGACTTTCCTTGCAGTCTGGATGTCTGTCTGTGCGTTCACACTTCTTGCGTGCATTCAAACGCGATCAAAGACCTGTCCCTCGGGTCTGACTACAGGAAGCGCAGGCTGCTGCATCAGTGTTGGAGTGAAGAGTTATCAACTTCAGGATCATCAGTGTGCTGTCACATGTTTGCCAAGTGATGGCAGTGAGGATATATTATGGACTATAGAGATCAATATATTGACTAGACCAATCAATTAGATGATATTTGGCTGTTTGGGGATTATTGCGTCAAGGGTTATTATAAATAACTAAAACCTTAAACATTCACATCTGCTTTGTGAGAAAATAGTCTTTTTGGGGGTTAGTTTTGTCTGTTATCCTGGTGATATGAATGATGAATGTCAGTAGAGAGAAGTAGTAATTAGACTGAGACCTGAGTGGATGAAAAGCTAATATTTAAATAAAATTATACATAAAACCATGAAAAAAAAGAACTTCATGTCAAGACTGCATGCCATGTGACCATTAACCAACATCACAGAACTGTGATCATGTGAATGCATTGTTCAATTATTGAAATATTAAATTCTCAGGGGTCTTTAAGTAAATATTTTAGGTCAAAGAGGTTCAGCTGACTCAAAACTAATAAAAAAAGAAACAACTTGTATCTTATAACTTATAGCATCATTACTCCAGTCTTCAGTGTCACATGATCTTCAGAAATCATTCTAAGATGCTGATTTGATGCTAAAGAAACATTTCTGATCATTATCAATGTTGAAAACATTTGTGCTGCTTCATATTTTTGTGTAAACCATGATGCATTTTTTTATAGGATTCTTAGAGTAATAGAAATTTATTTGAAATAGAACACTTTTGTCATATTATAAATGTCTTTTAATTGTAATTGTCACCAAAAAAGCATTAGGGGTCAGTTTTGTCTCCAACCACATACAATATGAGTGTCAAATATAGTGAACTTTTTTGTCCTTCCTCTTTTATTGAAGTGTTTTGACTGTATTTCTCCCTCTAGAATTATACAAAAAGCTGATTTTTTTTCTGCGCTGCTTTGTTCTTGAAGAATATTTGCCTGTGTTTCTCTTTCTGTCTGTCTCTCCTTCCTCACAGGCTGAAGCGTTCCCCCCTCGGTTACAGCGAAACGGTTGCAGTTGCCATGGAGATGAGTTCCTCCCAGTGCCTGAGGAGAGGTGCTCATTTTGGGAGGTGAGCTATCCCATCATGCAGTTCATTGGCATGTGTAACACAGTTCGTAGTCACGGGAAGAAGAAGGCGGGTACCGGCGAACATTTAAAGAAAACTTTAATAACAAAACAAACACAAAATAGCGCGACAGCCCCTCGCGGACGACTGTCGCTCACAAACAGAACCAAAGCACAAAAATAAAATCCAGGCCTAGTCCTCTCTCATCCAACACTGTCGTCACTCCTCCTTTTATCCTTCCGGCGCTCCTCCATGGGACTCGAGACCGGTGAGTGGCGCAGGTGTCGCGCATTAGCAATTCCTCCACCGGCCTCGCTCCGTTCCCACGGCTCTCGCGCCCCTCTTGTCACAGCATGACACCCCCCACATGTGCATATGTGATAGAGAAAGAGAGGGAAGGCAAGAGGGCAAATGTCTGTGCTTGAATGAATATATTCATTGGCGGAGTGTGTGTAAGGCTGGCCACAGGGACTTGGGGCAAAAATGCCCCTGTACAAACAAATTAAATCTATTAATCTATTGCTAACAAAGTGAATATGAATAGACAGTGTCGATTGCGGCATTAAATTAAGATCTGCTGCACCGTATTTCATTTTAGGTGTTTTTTTACAGTGTTGTGCATTTTAACCAATCACACGCATATCTGTTGAGCTTAGGAATGCAATGGCCAATCAGAAACGTTGAGATGAGTCATCGTTCTAGTGATGGAAATTTTGATTCTTTCAAGAGATTCTTTAATTTTCAGTTTGTTCACCAAAATGATTCGTTCAGTCGTCAGTGACCATTTCTTCATATTACATAAATACGCCATCAGGTGGCGAAAAAGAGTGTCTTATGTGTTATGTTTTAAGTCAACGAACATATTTACTTGTTACAAAAAACTGATTTGGCTTTATTAATATGTGTGCATAATCTACTCATTAAATAGTCTAAATAAGATGACCAAAGCATAAGGTTTTCTTGCATAATTAACATTTTAATGGTTTGATCAGACATTTACTCATTCATAAATCGGGGTTTAAACGTGGAGTTATGTTCTGTATGCTAAATATGAATATATAAACAAGCGTATGTGCACAGTACCTATAACTGCGCTTTGCATCCGCTTTCTGCTGATTGCTGATCGAGATTGAATCACATGCTAAATGGCCGACTGACCCGGTACACTCTCATTCATTTCGTTCACGAACGAGAAGATCTCTCTCGTTCAGATGCAAAAGAAACTCGTTCAGTGAAGGGCGTATGCGTTCACTACATTCAACAAATCACATGCTCCATCACATCTCATACTCGAAGGCTATTGGCTCGAGGTTTAATCATTCTTTGACAGGATGAAACAGTCCACAGAGCTACCCGGTTCACTGAGCTGCGCATGCGCTGCTAATAGCGCCGCGCTGCTCTGGAGGGAGGAGTTTCAGTGAACGAGAAATATGAGTCAATGGATTACGTGAACAAGAACGATTCGTTCACCTAAAAGATTCGTTCAAAAAGAACAATTCGTTCACGAACGTAACATCACTACATCGTTCAAACTCATCAGTTTTGTTGAGTGCGCGCGCGTTTGCTGACTTGCGAATTCTCTCATCATAACAAAGCGCAGATGTACGTACAATGCAAGTAAGAGATTCATTTCACAGTGTATACAGCTTCAGTGATTAGAACCATAGTTTAGTTTTTTTGAGAGTGCTTAAACTCACGATAGATCAATGTTAGTGATAATGTCACTTTCTATATATAATTTATTTGCTGTTTTAAAACCGTGGAAAGGAAACGTTTTATAATTATCAATTTCTAACATTTGTATTAAATTGTGATCACGTTAAATACAAATTCCGTCCCATTAAACTTTTTTTTTTTTTTTTTAGCCTACATGACATTCATGTCTGGTTCTTGCCTAAAAAGACGGGTTTATGATGTTTAATACATTTGGCTGCTTTTAGCCTTACCCTGGAGTTGGTTCACCCTCCGCCTATGAATATATTCATTAGAGAGCGGAGAGACAGGACGCTGCCTGCAGTGATCTGATGTCCCACACACACAGAGACCTCGCGCCCGGAATCTTAAAAAGATCTGTCCTACCAGGAAATGCTGCCTCACTTTTATCTCTGTCCAAAGATAATATAATGCATACTGAAACATAAACCCCTGATGAAGATGCTACTACTACTACTTAAAAAATTTATAATAATAATAACTATTATTATTATTGTTATTATTATATTTAAATAATATTAAAATGAACAAAAATGTAAATAAATTAACATTTTATATAGCTGAAAATTCTCTCATCATTTACTGTTTTGAATGATGATATACTGAAAATTAAATTCTATACTATAAGTACATTATTATACTTTATTAATACTGCATGTAAAAAAGTTATTAAAAATATACAAAACAATTAATAAAATATAAACATATGAATAATAATTATAATAACAATTATTATTATCATTAAATAATATTAAGTATTAATAGTTAATATAGCAAATAAAACTATTTATTATGTCATCAACGACTCATGTTTTTTTTTTCGTGTTTACAAACACATAAGATTGTTTGTGAAAGCCTGAAATCACCTCGCTATTTTTTTATTTATTCATTTTTTTGACACTTTTTAGTGCTTTGGCATCTTTTTAAAAATCTTAATTCATGGAAAAGACCTTGATCTTTAAATGTTCTTTTAAAAATGGGTTTTCGAACAACATAGGGTTGAGTAACTCATGATGGAATTTCAGTACTACTTATTTAATCATTAAATATGCCAGCATTATTTATATTCTATTATAGTTTATATTAATATTTTGAATTGCCTTTTATTTTCATATTTTTTTAGATACATTAAATGTATTTTATTATTTGTGTTTTTATTTTTTTTAATAAAATTTCATTATTTTTATTTCATATTTTCTTAATTTTGTACTTTTTAAAAAATATTTCTAAGTAGTTTTGTTTTTATTTCAGGTATTTATTTCCATTTTACAGTTTTTAGGTTTATTTATTTAATTTTAACTTAAATCTAATTTATTATTTCAACATTTCCATTAGTTGGACATTTACCTTTGTAATTTAAATCTTAAATATTTCTAAGTAGTTTTGTTTTTATTTCAGGTATTTATTTCCATTTTACAGTTTTTAGGTTTATTTTTTATTTAATTTTAACTTAAATCTAATTTATTATTTCAACATTTCCATTAGTTGGACATTTACCTTTGTAATTTAAATCTGTTTAAATTTGATCTTATTTTGTCTTTATTTCAATAAAGAAAACAGTTTTTAATAGATTTAATTTTCACTCAAATCAATATCTTTTCCAGGCACTTGGTGAATTTCTTCCTGGTTTTGACCCAGCTGGGCTTCTGTAGCGTTTATTTTGTGTTCCTGGCTGAGAACATTAAACAGGTATGTGTGAGAGTAGAGCTCCAGAAGTTCATTTTCTCCATCGATGAACTGATTTTGATTATGTGACAGAGCTGGAGCCAATGAAAATGAATAGAAAGACACATTTCCAGAATGAAGACCAGCAGCTGCCAGTCACAGCTATTCTTTGAACAGCCAATCAAACTCTTGAAGTCACAGCAGTGTGTGTGTGTGTGTGTGTGTTAGGTGATGGAGGGAACTCATCTCAACAGCTCTGTGGAGACTGTGCTGTTATACTCCAACAGCTCAGAGGAGGGCGCCGTCTCCCCCACAGCGTCTTCTGTCGCCGTGGCTACAGGACTGGACCTGAGGCTCTACATGGTCTTCCTCCTTCCCTTCATCATCGTTCTGACCTTCATCAGAGACCTGAGGAACATGGCTGCCCTCTCCGCCATCGCCAACCTCTGTATGGCTGTCAGCCTCGTCCTCATCTTCTCATATATACTCAACGTAAGTGTGTGTGCGTGTGTGAGGACTGCGCAAACTTTTTTTTCCAGATTAAAATTGTGATTGCGATTTTAAAATAATTTTTTTATAAAGCTCCAGGTCTGCTGTGATTTATATAGCAATATGACTATAAAATAATAATAATGGTAATTAATACTACTATTACTACTAAACAAAACAATTAAAATGGTAATATTTTTATTGTATTATTTCACTGTAAAATCAAGTATTTTATAAAATGATGTACTAAATAATAATAATAACTAATTATTATTAAACAAAATGATTAAAATAAGAGATATTATTATTGTGATATTTAACTGTAAAATTATAAATCAAGTTAATAACCAAATAAAATAATAATAATAATGATCATTATTAATGACAAACAACAAGCGCTACTCTACACTGCTCAAAACTCGCGTTTGAATCGTCAGTGGCAAATCCTTTAAATATAAAAAACTTACAGTCTGTGAGTCAGAACAGCCGGCATTGTAGTCTACTCTCCCAGGATCAGGAAACAGTCCTCCATAAAATGTGCTGCACACATCTGAATATTTGGGTTGAAGTGTTCTGGAACAGTGTTGTAAATACAACTTAACCACTGATTTCTAGTCGTGTACTCTTTTGGAAGACCAAACAAAGTAGTTTCGCTTTCGCAACGAAGCACACAGCGTCTTTACGACATGGCGGCAGCAACAATACTACAGCGAGAATAAAAGCTACGCCTTCTTTCTTTGCGTGAACATTTGGGCAGTGTTATGCAAATCTTCCCACATAGTGAGGTAGATATGTGGGGGCGTGTTAGAACGAGCCGTTTTAGGTAGGTGTGGCTGACTCTTAACTTTTATAAAGAATATCTCTTTGGATTTGAGACTTTAGTCTTTGCAACTTTACAGATCTTCTTTATGCACCAAGAGCTTGAAACACTCCAAAGAGAAAGGAAAAATTGAAATCGCATCATATGACCCCTTTAAAACACAGCCTTTGTGATTGTATAATTGCACTAAGCCATATTGCACTTTTGGTTTTCTTCTGACCTTGTGTGTATGTGTGGTCACACCCCACATAGTGAGGTAGATATGTGGGGGCGTGTTAGAACGAGCCGTTTTAGGTAGGTGTGGCTGACTCTTAACTTTTATAAAGAATATCTCTTTGGATTTGAGACTTTAGTCTTTGCAACTTTACAGATCTTCTTTATGCACCAAGAGCTTGAAACACTCCAAAGAGAAAGGAAAAATTGAAATCGCATCATATGACCCCTTTAAAACACAGCCTTTGTGATTTTATAATTGCACTAAGCCATATTGCACTTTTGGTTTTCTTCTGACCTTGTGTGTATGTGTGGTCACATATATCCACTTTTGTAGTCAGGAATCCTCATTGTTCAGCCTAGGAACACGACTGATACAAGCCTTTGCATGCAAACGCTCACAAATTGCAAGAAGCCACCAAATCACATTGGAGGCATTTTTCTGTATGCATCAGATTGTCAGGGCTGTGGGCGGCTGACACTGAATCTTTACATGCATTGTTCCTGTAACGTGTGTGTGTGTGTCTTTCATCCTCTACTATGCTACAAAGAAAGACTGCAATTATAATCCTGATGTGAAACTATATCATACCTTTTACCATCTCTGGCTGTCTGTAGGATGTGAGTGATCCCAGACGTCTGCCGTACGCCTCCACATGGAGGAAGTTTGCCGCCTTCTTTGGAACAGCTATATTTGCCTTTGAGGGAATTGGAGTGGTGAGATGATGATTCAGCTTTTATTTATGTGATTTTGATTTGACGTTGCCTATGTAATTTTTTATTTTGATCAGTTTTTCCTTTGGTATTGAAGAAATTAGGTATAATTATAACACACTAATTTGAAATTGTAGTAATATTTTAAAATATTACTGTGTTTATAATCAAATAAATGCAGTCTTGATGAGCATAATAGATTTCCCAGCCCCAAACTCTTGAACAGTATGCTTCTTGCTTTTTTCTATGGTCTAATTTTAAATTTTCATAACCCTTTCCCCCCTTTTTACATTATATGTATAAAAAAACTACAGGTGATTGTATAAGATTTCTTTCAAAAACATTCAAAATTTCTATTGTTTTTTCCTTTGGTAGTAAATGTATTATTATTATCTTTATTTATTTATTTTTTACACTGACCTAGTTGCAATGCAGTATGGGATTTTTAAAATTATTATTATTATTTTTTTTAACATTTACATTAATATATCTGGCAGATGCTTTTATCCAAAACATCTTGCATATTTTCAGTGCAATATTAAAATAAAAATAATAATAATATGCATTTTACATCTTTCCCCATAATAAAATTTCTATATTTTTTCCTCAGGGAAAGACAAAAGTGGATTTATTTTTTTCACCATTAGAACAAATGGGAAACTTTTTTTTCTTTTTCTTTTTTCTTCAAAGTTCTTGAACATTTTATTAAAGCATATTAAACTACAGTGCTGATACTTGCAGATTCCCTGATTCATGCATTCCATGGGAACTGAACGCATGACCTTGCCGTTGCAAGCGTCATTCTTAGATGTTTGAGGTACAGGACGCATGATTTGTTTCTGAATTTGATCAAAGGAAGGCTTCTTAGAAGACAGCATCATCTTGCACACTACTTTTTGGACTTGGCTTTGTGCATGTGACCCCTGGAGCAAAGCTTCACCGCCTACTATTCAATCTTCTGTATTTTTCTCTCTCGCTTGCTTTGTGTAGGTTCTTCCATTGGAGAATCAAATGAGGGAACCGAAGCGATTCCCTCAAGCCCTCAACATCGGCATGGGCGTCATCATCGTCCTTTATGTGACCCTGGCGACGCTGGGATACCTCCGCTTCAGAGACGACATCAAAGGAAGCATCACGCTTAACCTTCCACATGATTCCTGGTAAATATGCCACATACGCACTTAAAAAGTCTGCCAGTCATTAGAGAGGTGATGTGAATTTCTCTGAAAGTTCAAAAGAACAGTGTTTAGTTCACATTTGAATTATAAATGCCTTTACGGTTGATTTACTTTAATGCATCCTTGCTGAATAAAAGTATAATAAAATAGTATAAATCAATACAAATAAATTGATTCACATGGAGCTTTAGTGCTCATGTGGGAAAGTCGGGTTCAAATCCGGCCTGCATCATGTTCCAATACGACTCTCTCCAAAAGCTGAAAAATACAAATGTAAAGTCCCGTGCATCACATCTGAGTGTTATGTCAGTTCAGCGAGACTGCTGTATTTTATATTTAAAAATGAATTTGGCAAACTGCAGGACTGGTTAAGTGATGAAACCGGAATAAAACAATGGAACAAAATGCTTTTTTGAATCAATTAATTGAAACAAATCAGCTCATAAAAGTCATTTGTTCATGAATCAGACTTTACTGATCATGCTGTAAGCTTGATGCATTTAAAAAAAAAAATTCATCTTGCATAAATAAACATTATTTATTTTATATTTAATTATACATTTTATATATATTCTGCTATTTGAGTTACTGAGTTTGGGGTCAGTTTTTTTTTTTATAAATGTATACTTTTATTCTGTAAGGATGCATTTAATTGATCAGTAAAGTAAAGACATTTATAATGTTAAAAAGATTTTTTTATTTCAAATAAATTTAGTTCTTTTGAACTTTCTATTCATCGAAGAATCCTGAAATGCATCACGGTTTACACAAAAATATGAAGCAGCACAATTGTTTTAAACATTGATAATAATCAGAAATGTTTCTTTAGCAGCAAATCAGCATATTAGAATGAGTTCTGAAGGATCATGTGACACTGAAGACCGGAGTAATGATGCTGAAAATTCAGCTTTGATCACAGGAAGAAATTACATTTTAAAATATACTCAAATAGAAAGTTATTTTAAATGAATGATATTTCATGATATTAGTTTGAATTTATTTTTAATCAAATAAATTCAACCTTAGTGAGCATAAGAGACTTCTTTTAGAACAATAAAACATTTTATGCACTCCTAACTTTTGAACATTAGCGTAATTCTTTTATTATTTGCTATCATTATGTTTACGTTTTTTTTAATGGAGTTCTAAGCTGGTTCTCATTTTTCCCATCTCTAGTGTTGAAACAGCATAGTGCGAGTTTTTTTTTTTCAACAAACTCTGCTTTGAGTTCCCTTTGAAGTCGAGTTGAAATCCTGCATTGCATCATTGGCGTTCTTCAACCCTTAATTGCACATTCTGTGGTTTCTGACTGGATCTGTTCTCCGTTTCTCTGCAGCATTCATGTGTGTGTGTGTGTTGCAGGTCTAATCAGCTGGTGAAGGTCTTGTACTCATTCGGTGTGTTTGTGAGTTTTGCGGTGCAGTTTTTCGTGCCGGCGGAGATTCTGGTTCCGCCCGTGTGCGAGCGCGTCAGGAAGAGCTGGAGACGGGTGGCTGATCTCAGCCTGCGAGCGCTGCTTGTCTGCCTCACCTGTGAGTGAATACACACACACACACATGCTCTCATCCAAAACAATGTGAACCGCCTCAATAAACAGCATTTTAAGGCATCATAGTCATGTTTTTTATGCTGAAAGCAATCCCAGAATGCATTGTCTCAAGCTCAGTGAAAACAAAAAATGGTGAATCAAAAGAAAAGAAAAGTTGTATTGCAAGCATTCTGGTATTTTAATCAATAAATTCCATTTAAAAAATAGATCTGCACCATTAGTTTAGTATGTAGGCAGTTCATCTTGTTATGCTCCTTATTCATCGTCCTCTTTGTTTCCTTGCTGTTTTCTCTGCACTTCTTCCACTCACCCATCCATCCGTTCGTTCTGTTCCTTGCTTCCCTCATTTTTTCCCCTATTCCTATCTTCTCCTCATCCTAATCCTGCCTTGAGTATTCATTGGTGATGAGAGGAGAGATAGTGGAGGTTTGTTCCCCTCCCAAAATGATGGCTGGATGCTGTGAACCATTGTAAACCTGAAGGCTTTTGGATTAGTTTGATATATGTTTTTTATCTTTGGAAAAATTGAGTCCGCCACTGAACCGTGAACCACCCTGAGACCTAAAATATGAATATAAATATTTGTTTAACACCGTCAGTCATGCAGGTACGAGTGAAAGAGCGTTTGCTATGAAGGAAGAGAAGAAGAGAGAATGTTGCAGGAATTGTGTGCACACGCCAGAGAGTGAATGAAAAAGTGAGTGATGGTGTGTGTTTTTGTTTTAGAAACGGAGAAAAATGGAGCGAGACTGTGTGACGCAAACTGTTAAAGAGCAGGTCATATGGCATTTTAAAGTGTCCTAAAATTGTGTTGGAGTCCCCTACAACAGGTTTAAATGCATCTAAGGTCAGAAAACGTTGTAATTTTCTCAGAATATACGTTTAATATTAGAGTCATTAGCCAATGATTTCTAAACGGTTCGTTCCAAGCTAGTTTGGAGCAAACCCCTCCCTTCCATAAGCCTACTCTGCTCTGATTGGTCAGCTGGCCAAGCCTGCTGTGATTGGCACAGAGAGGAGTCCTTCAGCAAGTTAGCGAGCGCTACCATTGACAAAGCACCTTTGCATAAAACAATAATATAGTGCTCCAATCCGTTCTTATAATAATGACAGAAATTGCAAAAACACTTATGCAAGCGAATCGTGCCCACAGCTAAAGTTTAGCTGCTAAACTGTGAACACTTAAAACAATAATGGTGGATATGTTAGCTGAGTGCTAATGTGACTAACTGAGGAAACAATACAGTTTGTAAACCAAAATATGTCTACTGTAATGTTTGAAGAATGACAGACAAAAGACGCTCTGTCTTAACTTTTAATCAGAACATCTCCCTCATTAACCCTATAACTGCCGGTGCAGCAAAATAAACAAATAAATATATTTATGCAATATGCAATAAAGCAATTTCACAATGATTATAAAGTCTGTGCGCTACACTACATTCTTTATTATTAAACGAAGTAATTCGAACAACGTCAGTCTACATTAATTGACACATTCCTAGGAAATGGGTTCACAGCGAATTATCAGAACTACTTCAGTAAGACAGTAATATCGTGCTTT